AAAAAAAAAAAAAAAAAAAAAGCCAAAAAGTGGGAAAAACAATAAACTTTCCACCATGCAACAGCCCTACAAAACAGAGTCCCAGAGCACAGCTACCAGCTGCCCTGAGGAACCTCCCTTGCAAAGCATGACCTGTAGCTTGTACCCAGGCCTAAGTCTCACTGCAGGGAAGTGTGGGTGCAGAACTTGGTACGAACAAGAGAAGGCAAGTCCAGCATGGAAGGCATTTTCATTACTTTCCCCAAATTTATATATTTTTCGTAAACAATCATCTCTTTCAGATTGCAAAAGCCTTTGAAAAATCCATCAGTCTCTCAGCTACCGGATATTCCAAGTAAAGGGCATTTTTACTTTGGCTTAAACTACACTTGGGCAGGAGTGATGTGCACTCATCAATCAGTCTGGACAGATGTCCAGATAATGCCAGAGCTCTGCTGTACCCAGTGTTGACCCCGTAGTCATGAGGTGGTGGAGGGCGGAGAAAGAGATCTGGGGGAGGGCTAGGGGCTGGGGACAATCCAGAGGCAGCAGCTGTTCAGCAGCCAGGAGGGACACCAGGAGGGACACCACAGCTGTCTACACATCCATCCCAGGAACTGTGCACTGGAGGGCAGGGGTCCAACACCAGCTGATCTTCTCCCCGTGTCTTCGGTGGAGTCTTGTGGCCCTGACCTCATGGTCCTTGCAGGAGAAAGTGGGGAGGCCTCCAGCCACTGGGTACAGATGCTCCCTGGAGCCCCTGCAGGACAGCCCTTCTGCTCTGCTCTTCTCCGAGATTCCACACAGTGGAGTGATCCAGCTGCGAGTGGGGAAGGTGCCTTGTCTCCTCACTCCTGATTTCTCTTCTCGAGGCTACCAGACAAATATGGACTGGGAAAAGGAGGAGGGTAATGCTTTCCCGTATTATGTTTGTGGAGCAGCCTGTTCTGAGGTTGAAGTCGACTATCTCCCGGGGGCTCATAAGGTAAAGAGTGATGTTTCTATTCACCATCTTCAGAGTGTAGACACCAGCACTGTAAAGAATAATCAACGTTGGCCGGGGACAGTGGCCCACACCTGTAATCCCAGCACTTTGGGAGGCCGAGGCAGGCAGATCACCTGCGGTCAGGAGTTCGAGACCAGCCTGACCAACATGAAGAAACCCCATCTCTACTAAAAATACAAAATTAGCTGGGTGTGGTGGTATGTGCCTATAATCCCAGCTACTCAGGAGGCTGAGCCAGGAGAATCACTTGAACCTGGGAGCCGGAGATTGCAGTGAGCTGAGATCGCATCATTGCATTCCAGCCTGGGCAACAGAGCGAGACTCCGTCTCAAAAAAAAAAAAAAAAAGAATAATCAATGTTGTAAATAACAATAAACTTGATCCAGTGAAAAACTAGGGACCAGGTGTATAATTTTAGTAAACATTTGTTTTAAATAAATAATATTTTCCATTTCCATTATCCATTTTCTCTGCTACAGCTTTGTAGGACCAACATCATCATGAATGCTGCTTTCAGCATAAACTCAGCCCTGGATATTGGACAGGTGTGTGATTCCAGAACCACCCCTTTTGGGGTCCAAGCACAGGGACTTTTGCTCAATCCCATTTAGTAGCTATTCATTCAGAATACTATTTTCCAACGTGCTCTAAACGTTTTTTGTTTTGTTTTGTTTTGTTTTGTTTTTTTGAGATGGAGTTTCACTCTGTCATCCAGGTTAAAGTGCAGTAGCAAAATTTCAGCTCATGGAAACCTCGGCTCCTGGGTTCAAGCGATTCTCCTGTTTCAGCTTCCTGAGTAGCTGGGATTGCAGGTGCCCACCACCACATCTGGCTAATTTTTGTATTTTTAGTAGAGATGATGGGGGAGGGTCTCACCATGTTAGGCAGGCTGTACTTGAACTCCTGGCCTCCAGCAGTCCTTCCACCTCAGCCTCCAAAAGTGCTGCGATTACAGGCATGAGCCATCGCGCCTGGCCATGCTCCAAACCTTGTTCATACCTAGTGCAAGTATTCTGTTATACATATTATAGATTATGCACATACATACACACATGTAGATAAAATACTGAAAGTAAATTCAAGAAAAAGTTAACAACGGTTTATCTACATGGCAGGAATATATATGATTTACTCTGTTTTATGATTCTCTGTGTTTTCTAATTTTTCTTCAATGAGCATTGATATGGTCATAATTAGAACATTATATTGATATAATAAAGTTAACTAATGTTCATATGAATATTGAGTTTAAACAGACTGCACAACTTACAGAAATTTAAGAAAAAAGAAATGTTTAAACACAATTTCCCCACTTGCTGAATTGAGCTCTGATTTTTATCTTGCAAGTAAATAAAACTAACTCACTCAAAGTCTTTTTAAACTTGGTGCTGAAACCTTCCCAGCTGTCGGCATAGCCTTGCTTTTTTCTAGCCCTGTTACTCAAAGTGGGGCCAATGCACCAGCCACATTGGCTCGCCCTAGACCTGCTAACCAGCTCCCAGGTGAGGCCAAGACAGCTGGTCCACAGTCTACACCTGATTAGCAACTGGGAGCACCTGAGTAGTCTGGCACCAAACCCTGACAGATGGTACTTTCGTCTGCCAGCAACTTCTCACCATCCTAAGTCCTAAGAGACTGGTATACCTTGCTAGCTGGGCTGATGGGCTTTATAAGGAACAATTTGATTGGTCCCCCAGTGTTTCTCAAAATATAGCCCTTAGACACTGCAACAGAGCACCTATAGTGCTTACTGGAAACACAGATTCCTGGGCCCACCCCAGGTGCAGACGTACTCCATCTTAGCTGTGCTAGGTTGTTAGGCCAAAGTTGCTCTTGAGCCTGTAAGTTTGACAACTACTGCTAGCCCAAGACCCTGCCTCCTCTCCGCCTTTCTTTTCCCCTCCTTCCAGCTAATTCCTGCCTGGTTACTGTTTAAGCAAAGGCAAAAAGGAAGATGATCAGGAAAATCCTACATTTGCTCCATCAGAAAAGGAAAGAAACCCAGAAGTGTTTTAGGCTGAACCTCTTGGGCTTTGATCTTTTCCTTTAGAGACATGCAGTTACTTCCAATTTTAGCATTTAAATTTACTTACCTTATTCCTACATTTTGTGTTTCAATAAAATGCAAACTATAACTCTCCAATTTGCTAACTCTCCAGTTTTTTTAAAAGGTCACTTTAAAATCAACCTTTCTTTTGGAGCATAAAAGTATGTAAATAGAGCTCATAATGGCTTTTAATAAATATAGTTATTTCTTCTAATCTACCCTGTTTAGCATTGATCTACTCTCCCCAGTAACAGAAAGAAAAGTCAGCTGGACACGGTGGCTCACACCTATAACCCCAGCACTTTGGGAGGCTGAGGTGGGTGGATCACCTGAGGTCAGGAGTTCTAGACCAGCCTGGCCAACACATAGTGAAACCCCATCTCTACTAAAAATACAAAAATTAGCTAGGCGTGGTGGGATACACCTGTAGTCCCAGCTACTTGGGAAGCTGAGGCAGGAGAATAGCTTGAACCCAGAAAACGGAGGTTGCAATAAGCCAAGGTCCCACCACTGCACTCCAGCCTGGGTGACAGAGCAAGACTGCATCAGAAAGAGAGAGAGAGAGAAAGAAAGAGAGATCAAGTTCATGTTCCTTCAGTGTTAACTTCTTTTTCATCTACTTCAACAGATATTTATGGAGAACCTATGTGCCGGGCACCATGCTAGGAACAGAATGTAAGAAAGCCAGGCCTGAGATGCTCATAAGCTAGTGGGAGGGAAGAGGAGGAGGGCGAGAGTGAGAGGGGAACAATGAAATGCCCTCCAAGTGCCGCTACAGGCAGGAGTGTGCGCCAGGTGCAGTGAGTCTGGAGGAAGTAATTCCTAAATCCAGCCAGGGAGGGCTGGGAGGACCTTCAGGTGCAACAGGGGCCCTAATCCTTTAGCTGACTCGTGGAGGAGGAACAGGAGTGTGCCAGGTGGACAAGCTGAGGTGGGAAGGGATGAAGACAGTCAGGAGAAACTGCATTTACCAAGACTCAGAGACAAGAAAAAAGCTGCTATGTTTGGAGAATTTGCAAGAACGTGGCCAATGTCGGGCACCCAGAGTGTGGAGTATACCTGAGGATGAGGCCAGGCAAGGTGGCAGGTGCCAGTTCCAAAGGACCCATTGCAACGTCCACTGTGGTGCTTTCAAGAATGGCTTATGATGGTCCAGAGTTCCACATTCATTCCCACTGGAATATTAATTCAACCAATGTCAAATTCTTATAACCTGTGAAATTTTTGGCCATAGATTGAGGGAGCATTTATTCAAGGCATGGGATTCTGTACCACAGAAGAACTGAAATGCTCCCCAGAAGGTGTGCTTTATTCTCGGAGTTCAGATGACTACAAAATCCCCACTGTCACTGAGATACCAGAAGAGTACTGTGTCACTTTGGTGTGTTCCCGAAATCCCATAGCCGTCTACTCATCCAAGGTAAGAACTTAGACCTTTGTGTTAGTCGGCTGTGGCTGCCATAACAAAATACCACAGACCTGGTGGTTTAAACAGCAAAGATTTATTTTCTCAGTTCTGGAGGCTGGAAGTCTGCCATCAAGGTGTTGGCAGGTTGCTTTTCTCCACAGCCTGTTTTCTTGGCTTCTAGTCAGCCATCTTCTTCCCACTTCATGTGATCCTCCTCCTGTGTGTGTCTGTGTCCAGATTTCCTCTTCCTATAAAGACACCAGTCATGTTGGATTGGAGCCTGCCTGAATGGCCTCATTTTAACTTAATCATCTCTGTAAAGCCCTCATCTCCTAATACAGTCCCATTCTGCAGTGCTGGGGATTGGGACTTTACCAGATGAATTTGAGGAGTACACAGCTCACCCCATAACAATCTCCTCTTTCAAGAAATTATTAAACCATCCCCTGAATTTGCTCTTTCCTTTGAACTGCAAATCCCAAAAGGAGAAAGAGAAAAGAAAAGCATGCTTGTGGCGGAGTGACACTGACTCCAGAAGCCCAACATGGGTCTTCATGTTTTGCTAGAGATCATGAAACTCATCTAAATCAAACAAGGGTCAAGAAGGCAATGAACAACTTGGCTCATGAGGCTAAGTACCATCATGAGATAAACTGACATCGTAGGCAATTCCATCCCCCTAGAACTTTTCTGCACCCTTCCCACCTGTCTTCCAGACACAGTTCTTGCTGACACTGCCTCTTCCACACCCTCTGCAAGTCAAAATGGGCTTTTAACCAACTTTCTCCCTGACTTTTTGCTCTGAGGTGTTCATAGCCATTGATACCTGAGGTGCCATGCTCCCCAGAGCAGCAGGCCTGTAACTGACCCATAAAGACCTTGGCAAGAAAGTGTTCTCAAATACAAGTGTGAGAAAAAACATAACTTCCCCGCCTTATGTTCTGCTCTGAGCCCACGTCTGGACAGACAGGTGGCAACTTTAACCTCAGGTTTCCAGAGGATTCCCTCTTTCCTAGGAGTAGGTCAAGATTGCTAGGAAGATGAGACTTCCTGTCTAAATGGTCTCTATCTCCATTTCACCAGACTTTGGCCATGGGCATTTCTAAGGCTGGCCCAACGCAGCACACAATCCTGCCACTTGGAGTCTAGCTGCCTCCCTGCCAGTTCTGCTCCAACTAGGGAACCAGACCCCTCGATTCTCACCCCTTCTTCCGGCCTCAGAGGAACCCCTCTGCCTACTGGGCCCATTTCTCCCTCCACATTTGCCTCAGAGGAACCTGGAATTTTGACAACCAAAGCCTGGGCAAGCCTTTATGTGTTTCCAGCCTTTGTCTCATCCCTCCACCAGGGCCTGGTCACAGATCACAGACCAGACTACCTGGAAGAAAGCAAGAAGAAAAATTAGTACAAAAAAAGCACTGGTGAATCATTTGAAATATAATGTCATCATAGTGTTAACTCGAAAGCATCCAACCTATGCCGGGGAAGTTGGCACACATGAAGACAGGCAACCACTTCACTGTCTTTCAAGTTCAACTGCAAAGATTGTGGTTGTTTCATTTAGGTCTTGAGTTAGACACAAATGCTCTTGAGCTGGAGCTGGAGCATCCTACAGGGCACCAAAGGCAACAGGAGTTTGTAGCCCCTCTTCTCTCCCCACATCAGCTAATGTGGTATTTTGATTACCAATTGAATGCAATAACCAAATTGCATTTTCACCAGCTACTCAAATTACCATGCGGGGGAATTTGATTCTGGCAATTTGGAAGCACTCCACACTTTATAATCCACTCTGAGGATTATAAATCCAAAGGAGACTGTGTGAGTGTGTGTGTGTGTGTGTGTGTGTGTGTGTGTGTATGGTGTGTGTTTACATAAATTAGTCCTAAAAGAACCATGTATTCCTGGTAGCTTTTTGTTCTTCTCTCAGGGATTAGGTGAGGCTGGAATGTTCTTGGGGTCCTCCATGTTGTTTGCCATATACGACGCAGTGGCTGCTGCCCACAGAGAGAGGGGGCTGACCAAGACCTTCGTCCTGAGTAGCCCAGCAACCCCTGAATTGATTTGGATGACTTGTGTGGATCAGTTCACTGACATAGTAAGGGAGGTCCCCGCTGTAGTCATGGACTTTCAGGCTGTTGGTATGGATCTGATAACCATGACACTAGTACAGGGCATGTTCATCTTTTTCAATGAAAATTCTCATTTTGCCTTCACCTGCCACTTCATATATACTTTTTCTTTTTCTTTTTTCTGAGACAGAGTCTTGCTCTGTCACCCAGGCTGGGACATGATCTCGGCTCACTGCAACCTCTGTCTCCTGGGTTCAAGCTATTCTCCTGCCTCAGCCTCCCAAGTAGCTGTGATTACAAGCATGTACCACCACACCCAGCTAATTTTTGTAGTTTTAGTAGAGACAGGGGTTTCACCAGGCTGGTCTCGAACTCCTGACCTCGTGATCCACTCCCCTCAGCCTCCCAAAGTCCTGGGATTACAAGCATGAGCCACTGCGCCTGGCCTCCACGTGCACTTCTTAACAACTGCAAAGTGAGCGAAGCCCTTCAAACTGTGATTTGATTATTTCAGACCCAAAAGAAAAACACTCAGTTGAGCCAGTGATAGTAGCAAATGGGCATGGAAGGTTGCTTCTTTAAACATTTTATCAAAATGTAGCTGATGTGGTATTTTGATTACCTTAATAACCAAATTGCATTAACTAGATATCTGACCTGGTCAATCATATAGAAAGTATTTATTAAGCAAACTAATAAAAATAATTTAAATGAAAATATCAAGTCACTGGCACACCTTGATATGTCTGTAATCACACACTAACAGAACACACCTCCCTCTTCCAGCTGCTAAAAATGTACCTGGAACTAGCATCAGAGCCTAGTCTTCTACTGAACTGCTTACTGCAGCCCTAAGTGAGCCTTTGGCATAAAATTAGATTGCACTTTATGACTTGGAAATTACAGGGCTTCTGAGTAAGTTGCATCTTATCCCAAACAGAAGTTTATGAGGATAAGGAGGTTTATGACTCAAGGACTGAAACAAATATGAGAATTATATAATTTTGATATGAATAAAATACACATTGACTTGTTCATTTTCTAAAAACATAATTTGTCTTCTAGCAAGGCATGATGGCTCATGCCTGTAATCCCAGCACTTTGGTAAGCTGAAGCGGGAGAATTACTTGAGGCCAGGAGTTTGAGACCAGCCTGGCCAACATGGTGAAACTCCGTCTCTACTAAAAATGCAAAAATTAGCCAGGCATGATAATGAATGCCTGTAATCCCAGGTTCTTGGGTTGCTGAGGCACAGGAATCACTTAAACACAGGAGGTGGAGGTTGCAGTGAGCCGAGATCGTGCCACTGCACTCCAGCCTGGGCAACAGAGCGATTCTATATCAAAAAGCAACAACAATCATAACTTATCTTCTGAATTACAGCATTTTTAACATAATAATGTTTTAGTACCTTTCTTCTTTTAATCTCTTTTAGATTCCCAGAGATGACCCTTCAATATTTACACCTTGGCCCGTCTGTGTTTCTTAAGCTTATGTTTTCTAGAAAATTAAAGAATACATAATTGACCTTAAAAGTCTCAAATCAGAGCAATATATAGGTTGGCTCCCAATTGTCAACGATAATTTTAGCATCTTTTAATTATTCTCTGTGGTTTAGATCACTACATGATTATATTTTAGGATGCAAATTTTCACCAAAAGATATAATGAAGCTTAGAACCAAAACTCAAAAATTCTCATTTTAGTTTGCATTATCCTGAAAGTCTACCTCAGCATGATTTTAAAGCATGATAACATTTTTATTAATCTGGAACAACTTAAGAGGGACTGCTCATGTTTTGTTCTTCAGAAATCTACCCAAAGTTTGGTAAAATTGTCTGCCCGCAAAACTCTGAGGATTGGATTCCCTCAAAGCCAGTGGTGTACTAGTAATGGGAAAATCCCTGATTTATAATGTTTGACAATTTCCATGGTGTAAATACCCCTACCTTGGCCAATTCTAAGCCACTGAGGTGAGGTCTTTGAATGTGAATTTGAAGGCTCGCTGTCAGCTCTTGGGGGTGGGTAAGAGCTGTCTCCAGCACCACAAGCTCACCACAGTCCTCGGGTTCCTGCCACTCCCACATGTTCATTTAGAAGAGGCTTTGGGAAATAACCATCCAAAGCCTCCAACTGGTCTTCATCTGCCATGAGTCATGTCCATGATGCAACTTCTTCCTCACCTGGGAGGCCAGGGGATCATTGTTTATGACAAATAAAACAATGATCTCAAATCACTTTTGGGTCCCTTGGCTTAGTATCCAAAAGCTGAAATCATCACCATCTTCCTTTTGCCATCAGAGGGGCACAAAATCCTCAGAGTTATTTTTTGGTTATTTCTTAGCTATTTTATATTGCATTTTCCTGCAGACATACAGTCTTATACCAGAGACGATGTTCAGTCCCACGTGAGGTTTGGAAACACAAATAAGAAAAGAAACTTTTGTATTGAAAACACAAATAAATAAACATTTATTTAATGTTTATTTAAATAATAATTAAATAATTGTTTATTTAAACAATAAACAAACATTTATTTATTATTGTCAGGGATCTGTGTGCTAGATATTAAAGCTCTGTGTCTATTAATAGTAATTTTGTGATAGAAGGATAAGTTTAGATGTGTGTCAGACCAGGTTAACAAGAGAAGGCGGGTAGTAGAAAGGAAAGACTTATTTCTTTGGCTCATTGACTGGCTCACCAGTCAATGTCTCTTATTCTATTTTTTTTCAATGTCTCTTATTCTGAGAGGAGAGAGAGAGAGAGAGTCTTTAACCCACAAAAACTCATTGTGCCAGACAGAACAGCAAAAGTAGGGTCACTGGCATATTTTTCTATCAGTAAAATAGGAAGACACATTTACCACTAACATTAATTAATTAAAAAACTGTTATACTTCATAGACTGCAAGGGCAAGGCCTCTGATATCACAGAAATTGCACTTTTACAAAATAAATCTAATCATTTCAGTGGTATTTTATTAACTTGAAGAATTAGGATGGGCAAGTATTCATAAAAATAGTACGTGTTAAAGAATAGCAGGTTTCAATCATAAGATTAATATCTTAATGCCTTTAAAAATTAGAGTGACAATTTGTAGTGTCTATTATTATATTCCACACTTAATTCATATCACTAATTTAGATAAATACCTGTCATTGTGTGTCTAATTCTGAAACATTATTACAGTGATAGTTGGGCTAAAAGTATAAGCTGTCATCTTTTTAACCAGCGGACTCTGTAAGTGATTAAGCACCCTTTCAGTGATAAAAGCCTTTGATCATTAACTCTGTGCAAAACCGCTAGTGCCTCTTGTTGGTAGAAACCTATCATTACTGATGCTTAATTGTGAATTTAATAAAAGTTTATCGGAAGGGAAATGATGTGTGGCAGTTGCTACACTTGCTGTGCTTCTCCTTTCAGGTTAAAGTGCCCGTGGGGCCAAGATGTCCTAAATCTTCTGAGCCAAAAGTTTATAATGGAACTGTTTTGTGTCACCTTACAAAAACTGGGGAAATGAAGCTGAATGAATAGGAGTAGAGATGGACTTGATTTCCTTTTAGTATCTTGAAACTGCTGATACCACATGCACTCAGGTTTTGGAAAAGTTCAAGAACAGGGCTAGTACAGGGGCTTAGAGGTCTCTGTTGCTTCTCTTTTTTTTTTTTTTTTTTTTTTTTTTTTTTTTAATTTTTAAGTTCAGAGTCCATGTGCAGGCTTGTTACATAGGAAAGCTTGTATCATAGAGGTTTACTGCACAGATTATTTTGTCATCCAGGTACTAAGCCTAGTACCTAATAGTTATTTTTTCTGATCCTCTCCCTCCTCCCATACTCTACCCTCCAGTAACCCCAGTGTGTGTTGTTCCCCTCTATGTGTCCATGTGTTCTCATCATTTAGCTCCCACGTATAAGTGAGAACATGCAGTGTTGGTTTTCTGTTCCTCTCGGGGCTGCATTGCAGTTCAGTTTCTGCTTTTGCCCAGCTCTGCTTCTCCCATCTTTCTCTCCCAGATGTTGATCCCTAAGAAACATCCTACTCCCCAAACTCTATCTCAGACTTTCTGAAATGTGCCCCATGAGACTGTCCTAGGAAGGGCATGACCTTAAGGAAGAGGCTCTCTTCCCTGAAGAAACTGGCAGCTGAGGGTATGTGCTGATCCCACTCCCATGCAGGGCACAAGTCCTCCCTCACTGAGGATCTGAGTAGAAGTGGATCACACAGATCAGTGGATCACTTCCTGACCTACCACACAGATCTATCAGGGTTATTCTTCCTGGTAGTTATTCTTCCTTAGTTTGCTGAGGATAATGGCCTTCAGCTCCATCGATATTCCTACAAAGAACATGATCTCGTTCTTTTTTGTGGCTATATAGTATTCCATTGTGTATATGGACCACATTTACATGTACACATATGTTCATTGCAGCACTATGCTTAATAGCAAGGACATAGAATCAGTCTAAATGCCCACCAATGGTAGACTAAATATGTTGTTTCTTTTAAGGAAAAATTATTTATCTGCACTTGATACTTTCAGTGATATAAACTAGCCATATTTTTCACACTCTCAGAACACATAGTGCCATAGGTGGAGTTCTCCAGAGGCTGAGACAGAGTTTGAGGAGTAGGACGTTTCTTAGGAATCAACACCTGGGAAAGGAAGGTTGAAGAAGCAAAGCTGGGCAAAGGAAGAAGTTGAACTGCAATGCCGCCTGAGAGGCATCAATAACCCAGCAAGGACTTCTGGGAGCAAACACTGCCCCACAGAGCTGCCCTGCCTAGGTTGAAATGTGCCAGTGATGGGACTGCCCTGGGAAGGGCGTGACCTTTAGGAAGCAGCTCTGTGCCCTGAGGTAGCCCCTGAACGATCTGGCAGCTGAGGTCATGTGCTGACCCCACTCCCAAGTAGGTACAAGTCCTTCCTCATGGGGGATCTGAGTGACTCACTTCCTGGCCTACCACACAGATCTATCAGAGTTATTCTTTCCGATTTGTGAGTTTATTAATATGCAAATCTTACATAG